AGTTTTATGTCTTATCTAAAGGACGGCACCTTCTTACAAAATAGTGTCCCCATCACTATAATGGGGCATTAGGACCCACACAGACCGCAGGGTGAGCGCCCCCTTCTGGCCCCACTAACACCTCTTCCAGCAGCAGCCTTAGCTTTCCCAGGAGTCTCCCCTCCAGGTACTGACCAGGCTCCCTCCTGCTGAGCTCCAGGGGGCTGCCAGCTGGGATCTGCAGGGTGATATTTGCCAGAAGTACAGGCCCAGATTTTAGAAGAGAGAAAGTGAATCAGGAGCTCCAGGCACAGCTGGAGAAAGACATTAGAATCACCCAGCAGGAAGAATAATACATAACCTTTTAATCACCACAACAATAATAATGGAAGAGGAAAGAGACATGGTTTCCGGACACTGTGGGGAAACAATATACAGAAGCAGAGTGCTTGAGTACTCCAGAGGACAGGCGATCAGGTGTTCTAACACCCCAGTAGGATGTCATGTGTTATACAGTGTGTATGAATTCTGTGGCCAGTGCTGCTCACCCAAGCCAGGAGCGACATTACTGTCTTCACAGAGCTCAGATGAGAGCTCCAGGTCTGGGCACTGACAGATACGCACAGGGCAGTGGAACTACATCTCTGCGGTCTAGAATAAAGGAGATTTAGAGGAGATTTGATCCCTGAATCTGAAACCCTCAGGGCAATAGCTGCTGTTATCCCAGGGGACTCTTCCACACTCAGAAGTGAAACAGGGACACAGGGTTGCAATCAGTGCACTGTCACCCACACCGATATACGCTGACAGATTATATGACTTTGTGGTGCTATTGGGGGGGAGCTGAATCCTATCAAATTTATTGTCTCCTCCACGTTTAGGACACTAGGCAGTGTCCAGGAGTCAGGAAAGGAGTCAGGGCGGAGCAGTGGCTCTGTGGCTAAGGATCTGCGCCTGTGACTTTAAGGTTGCTGGTTCGAATCCCATGGCTGGCAGAGGAATCCTACTCTGTTGGGGCCCCTGAGCAAGGCCCTTAACCCCAGTTGCTCCAGGGGTGCTGTATAAATGGCTGACCCTGCGCTCTGACCCCAAGTCTTCTCTCCCCGTCTGTGTGTCTCATGGAGAGCAAGCTGGGGGATGTGAAAAGATGAATTCCTAATACAAGAAATTGTATATGGCCAATAAAGTGATCTGATCTTATCTTGTATGGCCAAAGATCCAAACAGTCCCAATGGCGGTACTCATCGGAAACTCATGCTAATTCTCCCAGAGCCATGGTCTCAGAAGATCGGTATTTAACAGTGACTGGCCCGTTCTGAGTGAGGTTTGACAGGACCCAGCACAGAACAGGCCTCCTGTCAAGACTGGGGACAAGGGGGAAGAGTCACAGAGAGGATGAAAGACAGGAGCCTGTTTGTACAAACTGTGAAGCCAGAAGCCGTCCAGCTAATCCGAGCCCTGGAAGAGCACTGGACTCTGAGCCCTATAGGCAGAGTACTTGTCTTGATTATCTGTGGAAAAACAGACTTCATCATGGATGGACCTATAGGCTAGAAGACATCTGTCCTAGTGGTGCATGGTCTTGAATAGGGAAATAGACTCCCATTTGGTTAATACTTTCTCTGTAGGGTGTGGTTCAGTCCTGATCATAATCTTTGTGTAAGAGGACACAGGTCCACCCCTCGCCTTGATGCTGCTGATGTCTTTTCCTTGTCTTCAGAAGACAGGAGACTGTCACTCGCAGAATGATTCTAGCCTTGAAACGCTGTGTGACTTACAGGCAATAAATATTTTTTTTTTATTTTAGATTACATGTATTAATAGTTTAAGTTTACCGGCTATTTCCTACTCTGTTTTCAGTGCGGAGATCGAGATACCGTGAGCTCTGTCTTCCCTGCCTGTAGGAGTGAAATTCTCTTTAAACTTTATAATGCGCTTGAACAGCAAGCTGATGTCAGGACCCAATACTGACACCAGCTTGCTAATGCTGCACTTTTATCATTTAAAGATCCCACTGTTTGGTACAATATCAACTACTGTGTAATTCTGTAAGGCGCTTTGAGTCTGACTGCGGAGGCATACTATAGCAAACAAGGACAGATGGACTGCTTGATATCAATAGAACCTGGATGAGCTGAAATAGAGTCTGAGCACATTACCATTCAGTCTAACAGGCTGGCATGCTGATACACTGCGACAAAGTCTAACAGAATGACATATAAACCCCGAGGAAGTAATACTGCTGATATGTTGCAGTTCAGGCTTTCTGTGGTGACACTCCAGGCAGTCTTACACTATACCCTACCCTCAATAAGGGGTTCACCACTACAGCTTCACCAGAATTGACTTCCCTCACACAAGAACAAACCCATGAAAACAACAGCTTGTCGTCAAAGATTGTTTTGATCTGATTCAAATTCCGTGTGCTGTGTCTTCCTCTCCCATAGGTGGCGGCAAAGTGGATTTTGAGGATTTTGTGGAGCTGATGGGTCCAAAGATGCTGGCAGAGACAGCAGACATGATCGGGGTGAAAGAGCTGAGAGATGCCTTCCGAGAGGTCAGTACAGGTGTGCTGTTATAACCCCTCTCTCTCAGGGCAGTGTTAATGTCCTGTAGTGTCCAGTCAGTGTGTCTGGACTGTATTAACCCCTCTCTCTCAGGGCAGTGTTAATGTCCTGTAGTGTCCAGTCAGTGTGTCTGGACTGTATTAACCCCTCTCTCTCAGTGCAGTGTTAATGTCCTG